AAGGGAGTGTGCTGAATATGTACGTCTTACTACGGGAACGAGCTGATGTTTGCCTCTTGAAGGCACTCTTGGGGCCCTCTTCTGCCATCTTCAAGCCATCTCGGGCCCTCTTGGGCCTCGCTGAGGCTGTCCAGGGACCCTCTAGGGGGCCCTGGGAACCCAGAAATCATGTGCCCGGAGAGGCTTCCCGGAACATGATTTCGAACGGGGCCCTCTTAGGCCTCCTTGGGGCCGTCTTGGGCGGCCCCCTATGGGGCCACGAAACGCTGCCCTGGGTGGAGGAACCGCATGCGAGAGCAACCACTGGGGCCTTCGGTGGAGCTCCCTATGGAGCTACGAAGCGCTGCCCAGGGTGGGGGAAACGCATGCGAGAGCAACCACTGGGGCCTTCGGTGGAGCTCCCTATGGGGCGCCACGAAGCGCTGCCCGGGTGGGGGAAACGGCAATGCGAGAGCAACCATTGAGGCCTTCGGTGGAGCTCCCTATGGGGCCACGAAACGCTGCCCAGGGTGGGGGAAACGAATGCGAGAGCAACCACTGGGGCCTTCGGTGGAGCTCCCTATGGGGCCACGAAACGCTGCCCAGGGTGGGGGAAACGAATGCGAGAGCAACCACTGAGGCCTTCGGTGGAGCTCCCTATGGGGCCACGAAACGCTGCCCAGGGTGGGGGAAACGCATGCGAGAGCAACCACTGGGGCCTTCGGTGGAGCTCCCTATGGGGCCACGAAACGCTGCCCAGGGTGGGGAAACGCATGCGAGAGCAGCCACTGGGGCCTTCGGTGGAGCTCCCTATGGGCACGAAACGCTGACCAGGGACGGGGAAACGCAGGGCGAGAAGCAACCCAATGGGGCCTTCGGGGAGCTTTCCCTACGGGGCCACGAAACGCTGCACAGGGTGGGCGGAATCGCGTGCGAGAGCAACCACGGGTGGCTGTTCGTTGGAGCTCATATGGGGCTAGAGAACCGCTGCCCAAGGGTAGGGGAAACACCTGCCGAACAGCAAACCCATGGCGGCACTTAGGTGGAAGCTCCTTATGGGGGCACTAAACACGCTGACCCAGGGTGGGGGAAAAAAACGCACGAGAGCAACCACTGGGCCTTGGTGGAGATCCCTAGGGATCTACGAAGCGCTGCCCAGGATGGGGGAGGAAAACGCATGCGGAGTTGAGAACAACACTGGGGCCTTCGGTGGAGCTCCCTATGTGGCTACGAAACGCTGCCCTGGGTGGGGGGAAACGCATGCGAGAGCAACCACTGGGGCCGTCGGTGGAGCTCCCTATGGGGCTACGAAGCGCTACCCAGGGCGGGGGAAACGCATGCGAGAGCAACCACTGGGGCCTTCGGTGGAGCTCCCTGTGGGGCCACGAAATGCTGCCCAGGATGGGGGAAACGCATGCGAGAGCAACCACTGGGGCCTTCGGTGGAGCTCCCTATGGGGCTACGAAACGTTGCCCAGGGTGTGGGAAACGCATGCGAGAGCAACCACTGGGGCTTTCGGTGGAGCTCCCTATGGGGCCACGAAACGCTGCCCAGGGTGGGGGAAACGCATGCGAGAGCAACCATTGAGGCCTTCGGTGGAGCTCCCTATGGGGCCACGAAACGCTGCCCAGGGTGGGGGAAACGCATGCGAGAGCAACCACTGGGGCCTTCGGTGGAGCTCCCTATGGAGCTACGAGACGCTGCCCAGGGTGGGGGAAACGCATGCGAGAGCAACCACTGGGGCCTTCGGTGGAGCTCCCTATGGGGCCACGAAACGCTGCCCAGGGTGGGGGAAACGCGTGCGAGAGCAACCACTGGGGCCTTCGGTGTAGCTCCCTTTGGGGCTACGAAACGTGTGAGAGGTGTGCCGAGTGCAGAGGCAAGGAGGGGGAGGGGGAGGAGGGAGGAGGAAGGACGGAGAAGCGAGGTGGGGGAGGAAGGAAGGAGGGGAGACGCGGGGCGCTGTCTATTCAAAACGAGGACCCAACACCACAGGATGGTTGGAAAACAAAAAAGAAAATGAGGCCTGGTCCCGCCTTGGGGGGTCGAGGCAACTGTTTTCGGGCCCCGGGCCTGCTCCCCCGGTGTGTGTGTATATATATATATATATATATGTATATGTGTGTGTACACACATACATACACACATACAACTATACATGTACATATATATATATATATATATATATATATATATATATATGTATGCATACATACATGCATGTATGCGTACATACAAAACAAACTACATTGTATACTATTACATGCATACCATTACATACATACCTACCTTACCTACCTACCTACATACATACATAATTACATACATCACACACAGACACACATACACACACACATTACCTAAATACATACAACATACATAATACTACATTCATACATACATACACACGAGGACGCTACAATGTTACATTACACAACAACTCTATACACTAGAAACCACGCGCGGCTGTCGCGCGCACTATCTCTAGACTTAGGTTCTAGCTAGGAGGCGAGCTTGAGTCAACGAAAGTCGCAGGGAAGGGGGCAGGGGGAAGAAGGCCAGAGAGCGCTGAAGGATACAAATACTGGAACCTCTTGTGATTTTGTGGGGGGCCTCGTCCGGCCGCTCGCTGGGAGTTTGACGTAGCTTCTCGGGAGCCTCTGAACCTGTCGGGGGCCTCCTGGAAGCAGGTTCGAAGCATTTTGGGGGCCGATTTGGGGCTTCTCGGGGCCTCCTTTGGGCCTCTTGGGGTTCTCCTGGGGCCTCTTGAGGGGCCTCCTTGGGGCCTCCTGGCGGCCTCTTGGGGCGGAAGGCTCGAGCTTGCGGTTCGTGGTCCCCCTCTGGGCCCCCTCTTGGGCCCGTCTTGGTCCTCTTTTTTTTCGGGCCGTCTTGGGGCCCTCTTGGGCTGTCCTGGGGCCCTCTTGGGACTGTCTGGGGACATATTGGAAGCTTCTTGGCCCGTCTGGGGCGGTTGGGAGCCATATTGAGAGGCACTGGACGCGGTGATGAAAGCCCAAGAGGCGAACATGCGAAAAATATACGTTTTCCCATAGGAATGGCACGATTTTTGCTTCTTGGGCCTCTCTTGGGCTGCCTCTCGGAGCGTCTTGGAGGCTTCTGGGACCTTCGTGGTGTCATGACAGGCGTCTTGGAAGGCATCTGGAGCCATCGGAGCGCGTTCCGAAGCCGCCTGCGAACGATCTTGGACGGCGTCCGGCGGTCCGTCGAGCCTCCGGGCCCCCCGGGGCCCACATTTGTGGTCGGGGTCCCGGCCCCAGGCCCCCGGACCCGGTGCGCCGTTTATGTGTATATATACATCCGTACATATCCAAACAATATACACAACATATAAAAATAAAGATCACATAATACACATACCTATACCTATACTATACCTATACCTATACCAGACCGATACATACATATACATAACATATACATATTGCAAGACATATTACATTAGATCATAATATATATTGTATATACATAATATATATATACATATACATATACATATACATATACATATACATATACATATACATATACATATACATATACATATACATATACATATACACATACACATACACATACATATACATATACATATACATATACATATACATATACATATACATACACTTATACATACACATATACATATACATATACATATATATACACATGCATATACACATTCTTATACGTATACATATGCATATACATATACATATACATACGCACATATACACGAAAGCCACGCGAACTTCGCTCGCGCTTAGGTTCTAGTTGGGGCCCGAATCTTGCGCGGCGCAAGGAAAATGACGGCTGCGAACCTCATTGACGCTCGTACTCGTCGTCGTGGACGTCCTCGTGGTATGCTCTGGTCTCTGTCCCTCTTCTCCTCCCCTTCGGCCCCTGTCTGACCCTGGACCCTGGTCCCCGGAACCCCTGCATCTAACCCCTCCTGGGGCGCATCCAGACCAGCATCTCGAAACGGATCCAGGCGCGGCGACGAGAGGGCTCCTTAGAAAGAGCAGCGGGCGCGGTCGTGTTTGGTACATGCTTGCGCGTTGAACCGTGACATATGCCATAGTTCCTCTTCCTCCTTTTTCTTTCCTCCCTCCAAGAGGGAGAACGTTCCCTCCTCCTGTTCCCCGCGTCCCTCCTTTTCCCATCCTCCTTCCCTCTACTTCTCCCGCCCTCTCCTTTTCCCCTCCTCCCTCATTCGGCGTGACTTCACGGGGGGGGGGGAATGATATGGGGGGAGAAGAGCGGTGCACTTTTGGGGCCCTCCAGGCGCTCCCTCTTGGGGTCCAAAGTGCTTCTGGAGGGGCACTACAGTTCTCTTCTCCTGCATCCTTGGCTGCTCCCCCGTGCATCGCCCCAGGTGGCCCCAGCATCGAATCGATAAAAATCGAAGTGGAACGACCCAAGATCGAGCAGAAGCCGGCAAAGGTTGGCTGCCAAATCGAAATCGGAAGACGTCGGCAATGCGGACTCGGATCGAGTCGGAAACCGGACCGCGGCAAGCTGGATCGGAATCAAAATCGGAAGGCCGGGAGATAAAGAAGGGAATCGGGGACGCAACGGCCGCTCTGGCGACACGCGATGCCGTGCAAAGCTGGCTGTGATTGCCGTTGTCATCCGAATCCTCATCATCATACTCGTCATCGTTTCGCCATCGCCATCGTCAGCGTCATCGTTAGTGTACGCGCTCCGGAAAAAGCGTTCCCAGAACACGTTCTATGGGGGCTGGCGGGCATGTCAATCATCATCATCATCATCATCATCATCATCATCATCATCATCATCATCAAAGGGGCGGGCTCGAGCTCGTTTTGGTGGGGGGTCAGTGCCTCCCGAGCTCCCGAACCATTGCCCCCAGCGCAACGCCCTCGGCAGGGCGTACGCGATCGCCCGCGTGGCACCGACGCTTCCGCCGCCAGCGCGGCTTCGCGAGGCGGGTGCTCCGCGTCGAGCGCGCCAGGCAACTGCTGGGTCGGCACCACGCTTCAATGCATGGAGCGTCGCCGGCAGCCGCGCCCTGGCGCTCTGCTGGTGCTGCTGATCCTCCTGACGGCGCTGGCCTTTGGTCCTGTGTGGCCACGCGGCAGTGCGGCTTCACGCGCAACTGGTCCACCAAGGAGTACTGCTTCCAGTGCGGCCGCGACCGGCAGGGCCGCCCAGGCCCCAACCCCCCGCGGGCGGCGGGGCGGCGGAGCAATTCCCGCGCTGGCTCTGCTGGGGCTCGCTCTGCTGGTCAACGCCCTCAACCGGCGGGCGGCGCGGCGCCGACCAACGCGCAGCCTTCGGCGGCTGAGGCGGCTGCGGACGGCGTCCGGCGCTGTCGCCAGGCTGTGGCCAGCCTCCGCCGTCTGGGCTTCGCGGATGAGAGCGCCGTGCTCGCCGCGGCACGGGGTGACCTCGAGAAGGCAGAGGCCGCGGAGCGGGCCACGCGCAGCCCCGACGACCTGTACCGCAGCGCGCTGGACCGCATGCAGGCTCGGGCAAAGGAGGTCACAGCCTTGGAGGGAGAGGTGCGTGGCCTGGCGGAGCAGTTTGAGAGCAAGCGTCAAGCCCTCGCCACAGCCCAGGTCGACCTCGCCAATCTGCAGAACGAGGTCGCCGGTGCCAGGGCGGCGTGCGCCGCCGCGGCTCAGGCTTCCGCTGCACCTGCGGACCCCGGCGAGTTGGCCGCGGCCCTGGGGCGCGTGCAGACCCTCTTGGCTGCCGCCCCGCAGGCCCTCCAGGCGGGCCGTCGCACCGACCTCCTGCAGTCCATCCAGGAGCACTTCGACGTCCTGGCGGGACACCTCCCGCAGCAGGCCCTGGCCGCCCCCGGCACGCCTGGCGCCGCGGCGGGTGCTGCTCCTGCTGGTCGCGCTGCTCCTGCCTCACCTGGGTCGTTTCGGCCCTCAGGCCACGGACTCGGCGCCACCCCTGGCATGTGGGAGGACGCAGGCATGGAAGGGAGCCCCACCGAGGATTGATTATGCCTCCAGGGCTCGGGCTCCCAAGGCGGGTCACCGCACCGCCTCCAGCTTGGCCAGCTTCAACGGGTCGTGCTGGCCCACATTCCAGGGTTTCCTCAAGGCAGGCGCCGGTGGCGCAGCCGTGGCCGTCGGCCAGGAGCTCAAGCTCGACGGCGACGAGCTGTTACGTGCCGAGGAATGGTGTCGAGGATGCGGCTGGCAGCCCTTCATCACACCCTGTGCCCGGACGCAGCTGGGCGAAGCTTCGGCCGGCGTGGGCATCTTCGTGAGATCCCACATTTCGGCGACGATGCTCGAGGGCTGCCCGACCCTGTTGGGGCACTCGGCGGTCCCAGCCCGTGCTGTTGCCATCCACGTGGACTTCGCCATGACGGGCGGCATCATCATCTTGGGTGCATACTTTCAGCACGGCATCGGCATGACAGGCTCCAATGCGCAGCTGCTGTTGCGGATCGGCGAGATCTTGGCGCACTTTGACCGCCCCTACGCCCTGGCGGCGGACTGGAACGTGGCTCCAGAGGTCATCGAGCGCTTGCAGTTTCCCACGAGGCTCGCGGGTGGGCTGGCCTACTGACGCGACGGCGGCACCTGCAGGTCGCCCAGCGGCTACAGCAACTTGGATTATTGGATGGTCTCTCAGTCCCTCTTGGCGTCCACGGGGGCCCCCTCACCCGTTGACGGATGGCCTGCTCGACCACACTACCCGATGCTATTGCCTCTGGGCGTGGCGCCGCGCAGCCGCCGCAGCCTGCAGCTGTGCGCGCCGCTGGCGCTGCCCCGCGGCCCGCCCGCTACGGTGGGCTGCCACCCCCTGGCGGGTCCAGGGCCGCCCCGGCCGTGGCTGGAGGGCATGGGGGCTGACGCCGCCAGAGGGCCCACGAATGATCCGCACGAGCAGCAGCGTCGCGTGGACGCCCTCTTCACCAGTTTCGCCAAGTACGCCGAGGACGAGCGGCTTGGGCCTACCAGATGGACGTGGCCTGCATCGGGGGACGTGCTCACGGTCCGCGCTATGCTTGGCGTCCGTGTGGAGGCGCCCCTTCACGATCTCGCCCTACGGCCAGTCCCCGGGCGAGGTCCCTGCGTCTGTTGCAGCAGGCCCTCGACGACGTGGCTGGCACCAAGGCGTGGCTGGGCGGCCCCTTCCCGCTGCCAGCCTGGCGGCGACTCATCTCGCTCCTCGGCCCCGAGGGTGCCAGAGGCACGTGCAGCTGGATTGAGCCCGCCGTCATCGACACCACGGCGCGGGCATTGCAGCTCATTGAGGGCCAGACGGCCCTCGTGGCATTGATCCTCTTGGGTGGCCTCGAGCGCTGGCTTGGCACCATGGCGGCCGTGGAGGAGCGGCAAGCCGCCGATGGCCGCCGCCAAGCCTTCTTGGCGTGGGCGCGCAGGCAGATGGCCCTGGGCGCACGTGCGCTGCACTGCTCCACGAAGCCACGCGGCTGGTGCCTGGAGCAGTTCAACTACGGTGGCGCTCCAACGGCGTCACCGCAGGCGGTGGCCGAGCATCAGATGGAGGGGTGGGCCAAGATCTGGAATGCCCACTCCGTCACGGCTCCTGCCACTTGGGACGACATCTGCGGTGACCAAGGCCCACCCGAGGCCTCTCCCGGCGACCTCGTCGGGCCTCCGGAGGCTTCCCTGCAGCGCCCAGCGGGCCTGGGCGACCCGTCAGTCCCGCCCGCTGCCGCGGCGCCCCCGGCAGGCGGCCAGTTCGCGGACGCGGACGAGTTCCAGCAGCTGCGGGACATCATGCGCGGCTGCGTGGAGCCCCTCCAGCCGCTGTCCGCGCAGCGCCTGCGGGACGCCGCGCGCACCTTCCCGCGGCGAACTGGCTGGGGGCCCGACCAGCTGCACCCGCGCATGGTCTCACTTCTCAGCGACGAGGCCATCGCCTTCCTGGGATACCTGCTCTACATGCGCGAACTGTGGGGCCGATGGCCCGCCGCCATGACGTCCACCCACATACTACTTCTTCCCAAGGCCCTTGGCGGCTTCCGGCCGATTGCCCTGCTGACGGCATTGTACAGGGTCTGGGCGCGTGCCCGGCTGCTCGAAGTCCAGCGTTGGTTCTTGGACTACGGCGCGCGGGACTACTTGGTGCTGGGTCAGGGGCAGGCCGCAGTCGACATGGCCGCCAGGGTGTTGCTCCACGGTGAGGCTCATCCCACCGGCGACGCGGACTTGGACGTCGTCGTTACGGCCCTCATTGATATCGAGAAGTGCTACGACCGCCTCCGCTGGATGATCATTGTCCTGGCGGCGAGGGCGCACCACTTCCCCATGGTCATCGTTCGTTCCGCCCTCGCCATGTACTTCGCACCGCGCCAGCTCCAGTGAAACTCGGCGCGCTCCAGGGCGGTCCAAGCCTGTTGCGGCGCCCTGCCTGGATGCGCGCTGGCCAGCGCACTGCTGCAGCTGGCGATGCTCACGCCCATGGACGAGCTGATGCGCCTGACCGCGCGCCAGCCGCGGACGCTGGCCATCTACGCTGATGACTTGACGGTGCAGATCCGCGAGGCCCTGCGGGTCATCATGGAGCGGGCGACTGACTTCTTCGCCCTCGTCCTGCAGGAGGATCTGGAGCTACCCACTGCGCGGCGCAAGGCGCGGGTCACGTCTTCACGAATGCAAGTCGCGCGCGAGGTCGCTCGCCGCCTGCGGCGCCACGGATTCCGAGCCTGCCAGGCGTTGGAGGTCCTGGGCGTGGAGGCCCGCCCTGGTAGACCGCTCCGCTTCTCATCGCTGCGCAAGCGGGCCAGGCGGGCCCGCGCCAGGCTGCCGCGTTTTCGACGACTTCGTGGCCTCGGCGCGCAGCTGGGCCGTCTGACGCGTGCCTCGCTTCCTGCAGCTCTCCAGTACGGTCTGCCGGCCACGGGGGCCTCGCCGACCTTGGTCGCCATGATGCGACGCATGCTCCGGCAGGGCTGGGGACGGCAGGCAGCGGGTTCTTCGACTTGGCTGGCAGCCTGCTTGGAACCAGGGGCCCACGCCGAGCCGCAGCTGGCGGCATGGACGCAGCCCTTATTCAATTGGGCGCTGATGGCCGTGGACCCGAGGACTGACAAGTCGGACATGCAGCGAGCGTGGCAGCTCCAAGCCCCCTCTGTCCTCCGCCATGCGCGCCATGTGGCGGCGCTGGGCTGCCACGCCCGACCCCGCGCCTGAGCTGGGCCCAGTGCGCTGGCAGCCGCAGGGCTACTGGCAGGAACCGCTCGCGGCGCTGCTGCACAGGCCCACTACCCGCTGGACGCTCACAAACTCTGGCGCCGGCGCCGTCCGGTCTCTCGTCGCGGGTGCCACCTGGTCCCAGGCTCGACTGCACAGGTACGGCTACGCGGCCGACGGGCTATGTCGACGATGCTGGGCCGCGCCTGGCACATCAGTTCACCGTTGCTGGCAGCGCGAGCCGTGCCAGCCCGAGCGGGAGCTGGCCTTGGATGAGGCCTTGATCGACGGGCTGCCACACATCATGCAGAATGATCCGCGCTGGGCGCGCCTGCTGGTTCCGCTGTCCTCGCTACCTGTTCCTCCTCCCCCTGACGACAGCGGCCGCTGGCACGCGCTGCTGGCAGCCCCAGGCTTCATGGTCACCGGCCTCATCTACGCCGACGGCTCCTGCCTGAAGCATTGGAGCCGCCCGCAGGCCGCGAGAGCGGGCTGGGGTTTCGTTATCCTCGAGAACTTCCAGGCCGTCGGCGGCTACTACGGCGCGGTGCCTGGGCCAGTCCAATCTTCGCCCAGGGCCGAGCTCTGGGCGATCATTCAGGTCCTGCTAGTGGCCGTTCCGCCCTTCTGCATCCACACGGACCACCTGGAGGTTATCCTCGGCCTGGCGCGCGGGCGCGCGTGGGCACATTGGCCCACGCGCTGGAATCGCGATCTGTGGGTGCAGCTGTGGGCCAAGTTGGATGACCACGGCGGCCGCTCCTCGGACGTGCGCATCGTTCACGTCCGTGGGCACCAGAGCGGCAACGACCAGCATCGGCATGGCAACGACTGGGCGGACGCGCTCGCTCGCTTGGGATCGGGGCGCCACTGCTTCACGGACCGGCAGAAGGCGGAGTCCAAGGTCCTCCTTCGACACCTTCGTCAGACGGCCTGCTGGGTGGCAGCGGGGCACGACGGCCTGATGTCTGGGGCCTTGGCGCCGGATCGCAACCCACGGCCGCCGCGAGCACGAGGGCGGCGGACGCGCCAGCCGCGGCGACGCCGCGGTGCGCCGTGCGTGACGCCCGCCTATGCTCATGCTCCGTTTTTCGCTGCCTCGTGGTGGCGATGCGCCTGGTGCGCTAGTAAAGCTCGCACGTAGGCTGGTCGCGCGCGTATGCTCCGCCAGACGTGCAGGGGGAGGGAGCTCAAGGCGCGGGCCCAGGCGGTTCGGGGGGATGCGGTCGAGCGGGCCTCTGAGCTTCCTCCTCCTCCTCCTCCGCGCCCCGCGGCCGCCCCCGCAGCCCTCGGCGCGGCCCTAAATCAGGATGCCGACATGTCGGGCCAGAGCGCGGCGGCCCCAGGCGGGGGGGAGGGTGCCCCAGTCGTTTTTTCTCCACCCCAGGCTGCCCATGGACCTCCCCGCAAGCGAGTGCGTTTCGCCGAGGACGTCGAGCCGGCGGAATGCAGTCCAGCCACGTCCACCGCCCCCCAGGCGATGGTGGCGGCCGCGGCGCTCATGACTGGAGCTGCGCTGACGGCTTCTGTGCCTTCCTCGTCCTCCGAGCCGTCGGCTGGATCCGCTTCTGGAGCTCTGGCGACGGATCCTGGCTCGTGTGGGGCCGGCGCAGATTTCCCTCGAGCTCCCGCGCCGTCACGCGGTCAGAGGCCCCCTGCCTCTGCTCCCTCTGCCCGTATCGTGCGGCCTCGGACTTTTGCGTCTTCGGGATCGGCGGGATCGCACCCTGGAGAAAATCCATGCCCAAGTAACCTGGCGGCTGTTCCTGCGTCGCCACTGATTAGAACGACGCCCCAGGACCCCGCCAGACCCGAAGTGATAGCGGATGGGTCGGCACGCCGGTTTTTCCCTGGAGCTCTCGCGCCCAGTCGGCCGCTGGCCAGGCCTGCGGGCCCACCGGGGAGTGCGGCCCCCCGTCCAAAGAGGTCTCGGGGGGGGGGCAGCCTGGGGCGAATTCGGCAACCCCACCTGCTGCGCCTCTCCCCGAGTCTGGCCCCGTGCCGCCTGAGGCATGCAGGGGGCACAGACTCAGGGTCGCAGGCGAGTTCGTGGCGTGCACGGCGTGCGGATCCTATTCGCGAGGCGCGGCTCGTGGAGGCCTGCTGCTGCCTTGCGATCCAACCCAACTCCGTCGAGAGCCGAACAAGCGTGATCGTTTGAATCGGTTTTTGCGAGGTTTTCGCCCCGACGTCTCTAATGTCAGGATTCCTGTCCATCGTGCCCTCGTCGTTGGAGATGAGGCTCTGGCATGGCTTTTGCTCGCGTGATCCGTTCGCGTTCGACTGTCATGTGTGCTGTCGCCTCCACTGAGGCGCGGAGAGGACGCCCTGGCCGCGATGCTCGTCTGGGTCGTTGGGCCGCCTCTTCGCTCGTTCTGCTCATTCGACGCGCGCGGCGCTCGATCCGAGCTCGGTCCCGACCATCATCATCATCATCATCATCATCATCATCATCATCATCATCATCATCATCATCATCATCATCATCATCATCATCATCATCATCATCATCATCATCATCATCAGCATCATCATCATCATCATCATCATCAGCATCAGCATCATCATCAGCATCGACATCATCAGCAGCATCAACATCATCATCACCATCACCAACATCATCATCACCATCATCATGCTCACCATCATCACCACCATCTCCATCACCGTCACCATCGTCATCATCATCCTCATCCTCCTCCTCATCATCATCGTGACGCTATCCCTGGCCAGGAAACTTGTTGCGTGTTTCGGGCCAGGCAGATCCAACACGACAGGGCAACACTTGGGCAGAGCTCGGCCAGAGACAGAAGAAGGAGGAGGGACGAGCGGGAGGCACACACACACACCACAACACCACCACAACACACCACACACGAACGAGGAGGAGAGAGAGAAGACCCCCAACGAAGGGAGGCGGCGGGCGGGCACAGAAAAGGCTTGAGCCGTGGCGGTTGCAGGCAAACCGCGCGGCCCTCAAACGCTCTACGATTACTGTTCAAGAACAACCCATCGTGACGCTATCCCTGGCCAGGAGACTTTTTGTGTCTCTCGGGCCAGGCAAATCCAACCCGACAGGGCAGCACCTGGGCAGAGCTCGGTCAGAGACGAACGAAGGAGGAGGGACGAGCGGGAGGCACACACACACACACACACCACAGCAACACCACAACACACACACACACACACACATACACACACACACAAACACACACACACACACACACACACACACACACACACACACACACACACACACACACACACACACACACGAACGAGGAGGAGAGAGAGAGAGAGAGAGAAGACCCCTAGACACCCCGAGCGGGCTTCTGGCATTTGCCGCCTTAAGATATAATCTGACGCAATCGCACTAAACGGTTTGAATCGACACTGCGTTTCAGAGCCCGGGCAAAGCAGGAACAAAAACGAGGGGGGTTAGGCTCAGCAGCGCGGGTCCAAAGTTTGCCCGAGCTCGGATCAACCCCAGTCAAAACAATGCGAGGCTTGGACGTGTGACTGCATGTCCCGCCTCGGCCATAGCAGAGAATAGGCAATTGGATGGAAAATTTCGGAGCCAAAACTCGCACCCTGGTCCTTTTACGCCACCGCGCCCCGACACCACAATTGTCCACAGTGCAGGCCTGGCTTGTCGGTCGACGGGCCAGGCGCTGGAGCGGGGGGGCCTTCCATATCCAGCTGGACCCTGGGTTCTCCAGCGCCGCGGGAGTGCCGACGCGGAGGCAGTTCCGAACAACCCGAAGACAAAAACGCAACTGCTCGTTACCCTTCTTGCACGCTTCGGAGGCCCTGGAATCCAGATTCGGGAGGCCCCAAACGTGCTCGGCACTACGCAAACGGCACCAACTGGAACCCGGTGGACCGCGGCGGGCTTGGGACCAGGTGCAGCAAGGGGCCCCCGTCCAGACAGCTGAAACCACATTACTGGTGATCCACCCGAGAAGCGTCGTTTGGACCACGCGGCGGTTCAAATCAAACCAAGGCTGTTTCAAAATGTCGACAGAAATCGCGGCGCAGCCCTGGGCCCTCGTGGCCTTGGACAGCCCACCCTTTCCCGCATAAAACTCCAAGAGAACCTGGCTGGGATGACTTCTTGCGGAACCTAAAGCGCGCCGCAAAATGCGGCGAAGGCGAAGCCTAATCTCAGCGTCGGTCAGCGGAGCCGCGCCAGGAAGGGCGCCGGTGGCAGCGCCGCGCCGCCCAGCACGATGTCCGGCAGGTTGTGCATCACTGCGATGCCGAAATCCAGCACCTCCCGCGGCACCTTGTGAAGCTCGGCGAGGGCGCGGGCCTCTTTGCCGTACCTCTTCATCATGGCGTCGCTGCGCCAGCGGCCTCGGGCCTTGACCTCCAGCGGGCTCCGCCACTTCGAGAGCAGGTCGTGCGACGCGCCGCCGTGCCGCAGGCCGTAGGCGGCGATGCCCATCGCCGCCGCGCCCAGCGCCTCGGCGGCCTCCTGGATCCTGACGGTGAGGTCGCCTGGCTCGAAGGTCCAGATCCGTTGCTTCGGGGAGCGGCACCTCTCCTTCAGCTTCCCCAAGCAGGGGTGGAGGAAGTCCAGGTCGTCCAGCACCGCGCTCTCGTCCCAGGCGCCGACCTTGGCGGGCTTCTCGAGCTCCGCGGGGCCCAAGAGGAGGCCCCAACAACGAGCCTGGGCCCCCCCCGCAGCTACAGGTGGCACCAGCTGGAGCGCCGTCAAGGAGTCGCACTCGCCCGGCCGCAGGCACGCGCTGAAGGACAGCAAGAAGGTCACCGCCTGCTCGACAAGGCGGCGCGACAACAGGTGACCCACAATGGCCAGCATCAGCACGCGAGGTATCGGCAACCGCGTCTTGCGCGGGACGACCTTCGCCCATCCCGCAAGCGCGCGGACCGAGCGAGGCAGACTCTGGTCCCCGTAGCGGCCAAACTCCGGGTAGTGGAACTTCACCGCCGCTAAGGTCTTGCTGGCCACGTCGCCTGCCATGCCGAGGTAGAACAGCTTGTCCAGGCCAGCGCGTTGTCCAGTTGTTGTCCATTGTTCCAGTCGAGGCCCGACTCCAGAGCCCACTCGAGAAACGACCACATCTTCCTGAAGTAATCCTTGCGTGTAGCATCCGCCGCTGAACGGCTCTCGAGGCACGCCATGTGTGACGAGTCCTGGAGGGGCCCCGATGGCAGCGATGATCGGCGGCACCGCGTCCGCCGCGCCGCTGCTGCTGCCGCTGACGGCACTGCCGGCCCCGCCAGCCAGCACCCCTGGGTCGCCACGCCACCAGTGGGGCGCATCTGGCAAGGGGCCGATCGGGCTGAAGGCTGGGAACCAGGGGGCGGCTGGAAGAGGCTTAGCAGGTTCACTATCACGAACAGTGTTGCCAGCCTGGATGGTGAAGCCCTGCTCCTGCTGACGCTTGATTCGCTTGATGCAGGACAGACCTCGGGATGGATTGTCCGCTGGATTCCTTTCGGACGGGGCCCAGCGAGCATGCATGTGAAGACGGCGTCCCAGGGCCAAAGCGGCCAGCTCTCGCAAGACATCCCGAAGCTGAAAGGCCGCCGAGCGGCCCTTTCCGACTGCTAGCGCATGCCCCACGTTGTCAACGGGGGCGAGGACACGACGCCCAAAAGCTCGACGATCCCTGTGAAGCTCGCCTCGGCCATGTCGCCCGACTTCTTGAACTCCTCGGCCTGCCGCAAGCTGTCAGGCAAGTCGTCAGCGCAAGTGGTCTCCGCGACGTCGGTGGCGAACGCGTGGCTCCGAGCGGCGGCGGCGCCCTGCTTGTAGCGCCACTTCTCCGCTGTGCGGCCCCAGCGAGCGACCAGCTCCGGGTCCGCTTGGCGCACGCAAACACCACAGCCCCTAGGGGGGCGCCACTGGCGGTCACGGTCGGCAGCCACTCGGCG